AAGGACCCACTGCCATCGTTGAATAAACGAACTCCTATTTAGGTGGCCCACGCGCCCAAAAGACATGTGTGCTAGATAATGGGGCTTTGAACCACTCCTAAAAAGCTAAAAAAGGGAAGAACCACAATACACCCGAAGATTAACGTTTATGCAAGTGCATATCACTTGCTCCCTATCTAGGCGTTCTCAGCTGCAATTGAAACAACTACGCCAGACACATGCCTACAAATGGAGTCCCGCAGCACTACACAACGCCACTCCCGAGAAAACGTCAAAAATCGTAATGAGTCCCAACTACCGATATCAACCCATCACCCGACTTTTGGAAACGCGCCCGACCAACTGCTGAGCCCTTCAAACCAAATGTTGAGATACCGGCCCGCCGCAGGTAAAGATGAGCCAGCCCCTTGGGATAACCGTGCAGTGAAAAACGACACTCCTGCCACTAAAAGTGCCACCCGACGTGCAGAATTGAAAATACGAGGATTAACTGCAAACGCACACGGCCCGCTCGACATAGAAATGCGGACCAGTTGTCTACACACCCAAAATAGATGCACAAAAGGCCGGACGTCCCGAAACAAATGGAGCGGGCTACCTAAGACGGATACACCGCACACAATGGAATGGAATGAACTGGATGACCCCGGCGCCAACAAAAAGCGAAGGCGGAGTTCCATGATCGAGATTTCCAATTTTTCACACCCAGTAGTGAAGCTTCAGGGAGATAGCATAATAATTCACACGTAAAACAATGGTGCAAAACAGAAAAACGACAAATCACACCGCTTCAAAGACATTTATGAATGAACCCGAGCATCTCAACAGGAACATCCACTGTTCCAAGAACGGTCCCTATCGGTTGGACTTGGCAACACGCTCTAATTCGTCTTTCTTCTTAATGGCGTAAGAATTTGAGCTTCCCTTAGAAGCATTGATGAGTTCGTCAGCTAAGCACTCCGAGATAGTCTTCACGTTACGAAAGGCAGCTTCTCGAGCGCCAGTACACAAAAGATGAATAGCCTGGTTGACACGACGTAAAGGAGACACATCAACGGCCTGACGACGCACTGTGCCACCACGTCCAATACGAGTAGAATCCTCACGAGCTCCACTGTTGATGATGGCATTCACCAGAACTTGAATGGGATTCTAGGGAAGTAAAACGAACAAATTACGATGCCGAACTAATTTTTACAACTTACCTCGTTGGTGAGAATATGAATAATCTCAAAGGTGTGCTTGAGAATGTTGAGAGCCTTGATCTTCTTGCCATTGTTGCGACCATGCATCATAAGCGAGTTGCAGACACGCTCAACAATAGGGCAGAGAGACTTGCGGAACCGCTTAACCTGATAGCGACCAGCAGTGTGAGGAAGAAGGGGGTGCTGAGCCTTAATTTGGATGTGATCAACCAAACCAAATTCGGAGAAATTAATATTATCCGACTGCCACTTGCCAAACAGACGCATCTCTTTTTGAAGAACGGCCATCTGAAAAAGAAAATGGTTCTGCTTACGAAAATCTGACACGCATAGACGTTGCCACAAAAGGCCTAAAGCACTGCAAACAAACCAAACTGCGAAGCTACGAATACCTTACAATCAAAACAGCAAAACCCAACCACCCACTGTTGCAAAAGAGGGTATTTCAAAGCAGTGATCGAACGGGGGGCTACAAACTTAAACAAAGAAATCAATTTTGGAAACACTTAATTGCAAACAAAGGATATTTGTCATCGCCTTACAACTCCGTTTAATTTTGTGCACGCACCAAAGTCGTTGTAAAATTAGGCGCTGCAGGTGAATTATAGTACCACAAAATACATGACCACTTTACTCATTTAATGAAAATTGAAGTTTTGACTCTAGACTATTCTTAACAAGTGCATTGTTAATTAATAAGGCTGCGCCACTTTCGTTTGCTTGCATGAAGCCACATTTTTGATTCGCTATATGGCGTGCATAAATAAGTGTATATCGTGACGAGAACTAATGAAATAAATAGACCAGTTTGCAGAACAACCTAATATACAATGTGCGCACACAAGATCTGCTTTTTGTTAGTTTCAAAGCTAGTGAATTATATTTCATAAATATTTAGGCACTTTGGAATCGTCAGATGCATTAAAGACTTCTAACTGTACTTGCCCTTCATATTAAAAATGCTTTTTTTTACATTTCGCAACTGCTAAGTATCCTTTTTTATGTTGATAACCTTTTTTGATTAATTATGGTTTGTTTATATTGGTCAAATGACAAACTAAGTAAATAGCGTTATCTTGAGTACCTGTTTATCAGTGCTATACCCGAGGAGGGGTTGTGTTTTGTGTTACGAGGGGAATGGTATTGCTAATTAGTAGGACTATTAAAAATGGGATATGCCTTAGGTGCATTGAAAAAAGCAAAAAAAAACATTCGGCGGGTGTTTTCAGAAACCGATACTGCTGACGATGCGGAGGAACTCTATCGACTACTATCAATGAAACCATTAAAACCCTTACTGCTGGTGGGTGTAAATTCACCGCGTCTTCTGGTTTTTTTATTTAGCTGCGCATGATTTTATAGTACAGGACACTTTACAGCCTTTTAAACAGCCTATTAAGCAATATTTTCGTCACTTTTGGCCTCACCTTTTTTGAGCTTATTTTTCTGAGTTTTTAAGTGGCTTTTGTAGAATTAAAGTAGTTTTTGCAATTTTTAACAATACTGCACAGTTTTAGTGGTTTTTTGGCCCTATTTTTTGTGTTTGATCTAATCGAGCGGCAGCGTTTCCATATGCATTCAACATGTGAATTATGCATTACTGAAATGCTTTTTTACTTGTGATTGTATTTTTAAGGTATATATCATAGGTTGAATGACCTTTACAATAATAATCAATGCTTTAGGTTTATTCCAGTGTCATTTCAGCACACATTTACTACGCGGTTGGGGAAGGATGTACCACTTCAGGTTTGGTACATGATGTTTGCGAAGACCTTAAAAAAAGTGCGACTGATGGGTACTTTTCAATGCCGGAAGAGGCCGAGAAACTCCTTCAGATTTTTTCTAAAGGGTACATACAAGCTCTGGGAATTTGCATTCAGGAAATTGCCTCAGGCAACTTCTTTGCACCTACACTTCCTTCAGTCGGTATTTATTTTGTTGAGGGTACGGTTAATAGCTTTCCCCGGGCAGCATACAGTGACTTTCTTCGGGGACAATATTCACCCATCTACAAAGGGCAGCCAAATGGCACTGTAAAGCAAAAGTCTGTGAGCGCAAATACGATTCCGGGTGAAGGCGGAAACTGGACGAACAGTTTACATTACGTGACTGGTGGCGTGAAGTTGACTGGTGGTGGTGAAGGTCCTCCTATGAAGCCTGTATGCGACGACGACCTCATGCTCGTTAGCTTCAAGCGAAACATTGGTGAGGACTTGGTACGTTCTCCTGACTCAGGATCCTCCCATATATCTTTATTAGATGGCTTTGTAATGTGGAATCATTTTCTGCTGTGCATCATAAGGGGATCACAGTTGGACTCCAGGAAAAGGGGGCGTCGGTGGGATACGTGCGTGATGTTTACGTGAAGCGTGTGATGGTCGGCTCACAGGCGGAGCGGCTCGGCCTCCTTGGCGAGGGCGACATCATCCGTGAGGTCAATGGGGTGCCCATCGACAAACCGGAGACTCTTCAGGAGCAAATAGCCAAATCACCCCCAACCGTGACATTAAAAATCATCCCTGCCCACAAGGACCCCAAAGTCAAATCTCAGGTAGATGCCCATCCCCACTCTCTTTGATCCACGTCCGTCTGTTAGTAGAAGGGCCACAAATATTCGTTGGCTTTGGATTGAAATAAATAATCACCTAAAATCACTCTTAATCTGAATCTGGTTTTTAAGTTTAAATATTTACCAGGTTCCACTGCTAACTAATTTAGCTCTACGTACGAGCTCTCTTCACGTATGATCCGGAAAAGGACAAACTGTTGCCCTGCAAGGAGGCCGGTCTCCGATTTCAGTGCTATGACATCCTCCAAGTGCTCAACCAGTCAGATCCTAACTGGTGGCAGGTTACCTTTCCTGTTTTCAATCTCACTCTTTCGATACTGTCGTAAAAGACCGTCACTTACCTTCTCTTGTTCAATCTCTCGGTAAAAGATTGATTGTCCAACTTTACAAAATCATTTACCTGAGGTAATTTAACACCAAAAAAGTTAGTCGAATGAAGTAGGAACACTAAATTCTGAACATTTTTATGAATATATCAGACTTTTTCTTTAAGCATAGACACTACTTAGGATCTATCGTCTCTGACTTTGTTAGCTTTTCATGAAATCAATCAGTGTCTTTATAACCAGTGATGAGAAACATTTGGATTCCCCATTTCGCAGAGCCATGTCGCTTAATCCTTACACGCTATACATTGTAGCCATTACTTTAAATATATACTAATAATAAGTTGTGTTATTCAGGCTCGCCACTACGACTCCAGTGAACATGCTGCTCTCATACCCTCCGATACGCTGGAAGAAAGACGTAAAACTCTGGTTGAAAGCCTCCCCGGAACTAACGCTTTTAGCTACAAGTTCTTCAAGGGACTCGTGAATAGCCAAAAAACTAAAAAGGTAGATCGTCTTCCTCCCTTTATCGTGTGGTTTAAAATGCAAACAGTGCTAAGTAGAGGCCTCTCAGGCATACAATGCCCGAGTAGCAACTGGAAGTGCATGCTACAGTTATTAGAAAGGTTTTGCTGCTTAGAAACGCGGGTGGCATGACGGGAAATGAACACGTAAAAACGCATACATTCGGTAGAGCAGAGATCATAATATAGCAAGCTGAATAAATGCAGAATGCTCTGTACGCTCGGAATAGCAAGCGATATCTAAGCCAAAGTTTGATGATAATTAATTATATTTTTGATGACTGAAGGTCTGCTTCAATTTAGCTATACCGCGATTCATAATTTACCAAAACTGTGCTGTAATTTGTGTCGTCTTTCATCTCCTCTTCCTAGACCAAGATCATTTTCAAGGCCAAGGATTTTGAGGCCTTCACATCCAAAAACGTTTGCGTGTACGAGGAGGTGGCGCTGATATCAGGATTCCAGAGGCCCGTAATCTGTCTGCTGGGGGCTCCAGGAGTGGGGAGGCAGACGCTTCGTGACATGCTTATCGAGGACAATCCTGAACGATATGAACTAGCCGTTCCCTGTACGAACCGCCACATCTACGCATACGCAGTCGGACTGCCTAAGTGATTGAGCTTCAAGGACCTCTCCCTACGGTTTTTATCCCATTTCAGATACGTCCAGAGAGCGGCTTCCAGGCGAACAGGACGGCGTTGATTTTTTTTTTGAAAAAGCTCGGAAAATGCAAAGCGGCTATCAACGAAATCACTTCATTGAGGTATACAGTACCTTTGTTTTGTTGAAAGAATTACTGGATCATAGACGAGTCCGTGTACTATTAATCGCAGAAAGTATCACCATAATGCAGCTGGTTTTGTGTTTCAGGCTCTTCATACTAAAGATAAGAATGTGGAAAAGAGTAGCTTTTTCACTTCCTCACGTGTCCGATGATTCGATAAGTAATTAGTATTCCTCGATCTTGGTCGCTGGAAGGACGCCCATACATACAGCAAGCTAATTGCAAGACCAAAAACTAGGCAAATACCCTTATCTGATACATATTTCTTCAAAAATGCACCCAACTTATCACAATTTTGCATATACTTTGAGTTGACTGATTTTTAAACAAAAATTCCGGCATTCCCATTGAGTGCCATTATGTTTCTATTTACGAATTTCAAGTTTTCAGTAAGACCAATGTTGAGTCGAGGTATTTTTCAAAAGGGTACGGTTTTCTTTCACACGACACAAGTACTTTTGTCAAAGGTGTCAAAGTAGGCTCCTTTATACCTCCTGAGTCATGAAACGCTGTTACGACGCCATTAGTGACAGTGTTTAACTAGCATCTTTTTCAGATGCAAAAATGTCCTTGTACGGAACACCGCTTTAAATACAACTAAGTAGCTAAAATGATACCTTCTTTAAACAAGATACGTCTTTGTACAGCTTTCTCCAGGAAAAAATCGGTTTCGAGCACGAAAGGATAATGGGGATTCCGAATCGGATGCTATTAACGAGCACTGCCATGCAGCGACCATAGAAGGTCTAGATTAAACGCCTTAAAAGAGGCATAGGCAATCGATTCCCTTGAAATACCTCCTAAATTACGTAGCAGTGGCCTGATCAAACCTATTAATCCCTCTTAATTTCCAGAAACTATAACTTTGCTCAGTGCCAAAAGTGTAACCCTATGGTTAGTCATCCTCTACGTTGGGTACGAAATTTTACAAAAATATATCGGAAGTCTACTAACGCCAACAATAATATTAACTTTACACATCTTTTCAGGAGGTGGGAAGGGAACATTTTTGAACGTCTGTCTGTGTCTAGTACTAATTTAGAAGACACTTCTGGCGTTAGACTGTCACACTTTCAATAGCGTCTATTTGTCTCTCCTCTTTTTTCGTTAGTTCGGAGAGGCGGACGGGGCATTCTACGGTACGAAGGTAAAGACACTGCGGCGGATTGCACAGTCGGGGAAGACGTGCCTTTTAGACTGCAGTCCGTCTGCCGTCAGTCGCATCCGCACCGCTGAGTTCATGCCCTTCGTAGTCTTCCTTGCTGCACCCTCCTGCAACTGCATGAAGGCCATGTATGAGTATGGCCGCAGCATGGGTCTCACCGAGGCCTGGAAGCGCGTACGTCTACCCATCCCCTCTTCTCTTAAGCATCCATCTAATTCCCAGACGCTATATCGTTGGTGTCGCCAAAGCAAAACTTGCAGTGTATTCAGTGAGCTCATGCAAGGCTCGAGACGTTCTTCGGAACCCTGAAAACGGATGAGTCTGAGAGTTCTGATGAAAACCGTTCATTTCAAATCGGGAATTTAAGGTTCTTTAAGAAAAATAGGAAATCATAAGGTCCTGAAATTGCATTAATGTTTCCACTAAGTCAGTTCCTACATTTAGCAACCCATTCTAACTTTTAATAAATATCATTTAAACTTGGGCATTGAAAAGCTTGACGTTATTACTTACCATACCGCTTACTTTCATCGGTACCCTTCATGGGTCAACTTTTTGAAATCGTTAGTTGCATTTACCGTTAGTCCGGAAAGGTTTGTCTCAATTCGATTTCATTACAGGTTATGCATAAATTATCCAAGATTAGGCTTTCCATAAGATTGTTTGTTGTGAGCAAGGAATCATCACTCCCAGAACGACCTTGACAGACGTATGGCTATCAAATGTTTTATTTTAGTTCGGGGCCCTATCACTGTATCGCAATCCAAGTCTATCAGTCTTTCAGGCCTTCGTTCGTAGAAAGCTCCACCACATGCTGTATGCGTTACACATGCAAGACCAGTGTGTGACGGTGTGCGAACTGGTCGACGAAATTCGTTCCAGCTGCTACTCAGCATTATGCAGTGCTTGAGGTTGGAATGGTTACCGAAAGTCGCCGCTTTTTTGATAGCATCTCTAGCCCCAATCGCCATACTTTCAGTCATCCTTCTAGAAAATTTTTGTGTAGCATCCAGTCAATAAATGCGAGATTGAATTTACTACTACTGCTAATATTAGTAAGGTACACAAGTGTGAAAGTAACTTTGTTACAGGCCTGAAAGGCAGCATGTCTGTCAGTAACGCGAATGTTATTTGACCACATTCACAGTTAGTTGCGCTGCACATACTGCGTATCTTGGAATTGATCCATCCATGCAGTCTCGACATGCAATGAAATCTTTTGATTATATCTGTAATTAGTAATGGAGCACTCAAATTAATTACTGGTGTCATCCCAAACTTGGTTTCACAAATGAACTCAATCTTTAAAGAAAGCGCCTTAAATCGCTTCCCGAGTAAGGCATAATTGAATTGCACTTCTCATATTGTCGTTGCTATAATTACAGTTGCTTTCGAAATCAAAGAGATCAGACCATCTATGCTCGCCCGTTGACTGAGAAATGACTTTGAGGATTTCTACTTGGCCACGCCACACTTTCTTCGGTCATTTGGAAAAGGTGCTGTTATATATAAGTTAGGTGTTATTCGGTGAGGCCATGAGGACCTCCCCATGAGGTAATTCACAGTTCAGTGATTCAAGCATTTATGCAAAAACTTGCGCAGCTAATGCATTCAACCCCCATTAAAGAAGGAGCTTCTTACTCAGAGCCCATACTTTCAAAAACGGATAAATGTGATTGATGTTTTCCTAATATCCAAGTCATGCGGCGATACCACACAACTACTTATGAGTTACATGATTAAGGGAAATACTCTAGAGCGAAAATAGTAGGGAAGCAAAGACGCTACTCATATCGTTTACTTAAATAACTCCGTCAATTGAGTAGCCAACAGACGAAACTATCTCATTACAAGGAGCGGAAAGAATCTTTCTGCTAATCCGCTATTGTGCCTGTAGCGAAATGACGAGCATCATTTCGGGCCACGACCGTGAAGAGTCGCTATATTAGTTGCGCTGTATTCGGCACACAAAATTTACCAGTTATATCAATTCTGGGCTAGGGCTCTTAGTTGCCTATTCCGATTTCGAAACCACTTTTTTATCGCAGGATGAGGATTTTCGCAGAACACTCGAATGTAGTCAGGAGATCGAGCGAAACTATCGCCACCTCTTCGACAAGATTGTGATCTGTGACAACATCGAAGTGACGTTTACCCGACTGAAAGAAATTCTGGACGACCTATTGGTGAGGCCACAGTGGGTGTCAGCAAAGTGGCTGTATTGATGCAAATGCACAATCTGACGTTCTTCCCCGAACTTCAACTATTTTCATCAGCACTTTACAATGTAAATTGTAAGTAAACGCTTGAAGAACAGTCACTGCCTCCATTCTAACGATCGCGGTTCCGTAAACGCAGTTGAAGGCCAGAAAACCCGTAAACTATTTATGCTTGATGGCAACTATTCATTTGAGTTAAATTACGAAAATGGAACACCCGAACAACATCTGAATGGATAGCAATTCAGCTATGTATTCAGTTCAAATTGAATAGGGAATGCTCTAAAAGAATTTGGATTGCAAGGTCATTCTATATTAGCCAACTGTAAATACCAAAATACAGAACGAACACACAACATCATTGATGATGATTTTCGAACACTGAGAGTGATGAGGACCAGGAATTAAGTGCTAGATCATTTTACTAAGAAAAAGTAGTAAAATGAAATATGGCATCATTTAGTTGCCACAACCGAAGCAGACCAGTAGAATGGCAAAACATTCGTCCATGGGACAAATGTACTGCACTACTTAAAATACTTTACACCAGAGGGTCTACTCTGGACCTACCTGGAGGGATGGTTCTAGTCACTCGTGGTGGGAACGTGGGCTAATAGCATTATACGATAGCAGATCCAGTAAGGATGCAATTTTTAACAATACTACTGAATATTGATAAAAAACAGTTCAATGACATTTCCGGAAAAGGGAGAGGGGAAGACAGCAGAGCACTCCGGATAAGGCGAAGCAAAAAATGAAGGTAGCCCAGGAAGGGGCGACTAGAAGTACACCAAGACGCCTATTGACGTCTCGACCTCACGGAGGCTTGCTTCACCTGGAAAAGAAAAGGTGAACATAAACAGAAGCAAACACGTAGCTTTAACGTGGGAATTTTGTCCAAAAGAACCACTTGAAACTGATTAACCCACCTAAAAGGGCATTGCCGGTCTGGGATAACACAGGATATTCGGTGATGCGGCCTAGAAAATGGTGGGCCCAAGTAGTAAAATATAATCATAGAACTAGCAGGAAGACACCTATCCAAAGTAAATAAACATGCTCCTTTTCACTAGAAGACCATTTTGATGAATGCATAATTACAAATGTAAAATTGCTTAAAATTGTTGTAAATTCTGGTATTAATGAAAGAACACGACAAAATGTAAAATGCAATTATACAGTGGGTACGAAGTTAAAAAACCCCTCAACGAGTTTACTCCCAATTTTTCCCAAGTAACTTTCATTACAATACTCTTTTTCTACCACTCGTAAACTTCTGAGTGCCCCTGTAGTCGCGACTATGGCTGGATGTTCGGGGTGCTGTACATCCCACGCACCATTAAGAACATTTGTGAACTCTGTTAGGGGGGACTATTTCCACAGCAAACATTTGCTGAGGAAATTGAACCCTAACATTAACCTTAATTGACTAAACGAAACAGACTGGCCTACCTGAGTCGGCACAAAATTTGTCAGGTTGTTCGTATTTTCAGACACTCTGGGAAGGAAAGAAAATGAAGTCAACACAGTTAAAAGCCAACACTTGCAAAACAGCGAGTAAAACAGAGTGCATGGACAAACGACATCCACCGACTAGTACTCTTTAATCACCTTAGAAGACCGAATGGATTTGTAGTGACTTACGAGAAAAAGAAAGTGTGAGGAGTATAAATCTCATGACTTGATTTGTTTCAGAATTCACATATAATTAATCCACCATTAAGCGAATGCACATCAGTGAACCACTAAAGTCGAATGAATCTTGGGGAATAAAAGTAAAGTGCTTACGGGAGATGTGTTGGCACTGACAGATGGGAATCGTTCACGGGGGACACAAAGGGTTGCAGTTGCGGCTGCTGAGAAGTAAAGCATTCTAAGAATTGGGCGGATTGAAAGGCTTGCTGCTCGACAGAAAAGTATAGGTCGCGAAGCTGTTCGACAGAAAACACCTGACCGGTGAGCGAGTCCACAAAAAGAGGCTCCATTCGTAGTTGAAGAAGGCCACGAAGCGCGGATCCACCTGGACCCACGGTGGTGAACCCCCGGGACTCTGCTCGGGTCCTGAAGAGCAGATTTCAGGCAACCATTTTATTGAATTAGAGCACCATGGGCCTAAAATACGAGGGAGACAATTGTAAAGCGAATGCTACTAACTGAGACAAAGCGGAAACATTGGTAATAGGAACAAGAAAGTTGGATCATACTGGGGGGGAAAAGGGCGGGAGCTTGTGGATTCGAAGGCAGCTGCACCTCCGAGGTCGGATACGTCATGGGCGCTGAATTCGCCTGCAACGAACATAGTGAAGCAGTCGCCTGATCGACAGTCTTCGGTCCCAATCTTATCTGATGCTTCTTTTGCTGATTTTGTAGTTGCTGATGGGACTTTGAATGCGACTGAACGGGCTTCAAATCGAAAAATTAACCTTTATAAAGCTAGTGCCAGTGAATAATAATTTTGAGGGAAGAGAGAAATTCAAACACAACTTTTTGATGTCTCAACAATAAGAACCAAAATCAAAAGAGCAGGATGAGTTATATGAACATGGTACTGAAAAGATGATAATATATATCTATGCTAACCATTTCTAAAACAATTAAAGGATGATTAAAAGTCGGATTTTATAAATTTGAACAAAATCACAAAAGAGGAAAGAATAAAGGACATGAGTAGAGCTAACCATTTGCCCCAAAGAAGAAGGTGCGACGCTTGAGTTGCTGTGTTTAATATTTGGAGAGGGAGGCTGTGGGAGCGGCTTTTTCGAGGAAGTAGACACGCACTTCGTCGCTTTTTTATTCAAGGCAGCGACGGCGGTAGAGGAAGAGGCAAATTCCGATGGAGGGTTAGCCAGCCACTCTGACGGCAGCACAGAATCGATGGGGTTCGCTGTGGACAGCGGTGGGGACTGTGGTGTCAGCACGGTGAACGCCTCCTTCTTCATAAACTCCTTTCCCAGATATCGCTGTTTCTTACTACCACTGCTCCTCTCCTTCTGCTTCCTCGCGCTGGTAGATTCGATGAAACGGGGATAGTGCAGGAGGTGGGAAGAGGCCATCGCCAAACAGCACGATGAAGAACCTCTAGAGAGAAAGTAGAGCAAAACTTAGCAGCCTAACACAATTTAAGGAGTGTCAGTCACGAAGAAGCGCACCGATCCAACTTGTGGGAGGTGACACTACGGTGAAACAAAAACTTAACTGCTAGTACGGTCCTTGAGTAGTACCGCAAGTAATAACGCACCTTAAAGTGCGTACCGATATCGTTTTGCATTCACACAAAATAATGCTCAAGTAAGCAAAGTAAGTACCAGAATAGTAGGTTGTTTGGTCTTTGTCAGATTTACACTAGCTGAAACTCGTCAGAAAGTTAGTGAAAAGCATTGCGGACTGGACTTTAACTAGACTACAACTCTGACTATACGCAGCTCTCGCTGTGAAATTGGGCAATGGGTTCTGAAATAGAGGTGGCATTTAAAAATGCGGTTGCGAATAACTCAGTAGAGGATAAATTTAATTTATTCAATGAAATTAATTACGTTCCCTTGCAGAGCAATTTGTGCTACTACTACGAAACGCACTTGCCAGCTTAACTCTTGACTAACATATTTAGTCACTTCGATGAAACGAAATTAAATTGGTGGGAGGCTAACAACAATCTGTGTTTTATAATGTATGCACCTTATTAGATTACGAGAAAATAATTTAGCTTGAAGCAGAAGGCGCTGGCGGCACCTTATGACTGTGCAGTTTGCACTTCCAGTATTGGTGCTTTCTAATCACAATAGCCGAAAATTTCTCATACCAACAGTTTGTGCTTAGCACTGCAAAGAAAAAATTGTTCTCGAAACTGGAGTTAATTTTTCAAAAGACGTCGAAATATTTCAACCAAAAGGAAGCCGTCCGAAGTGCATTTTACCAGGCAAGTGGGTTTTTACGAAACTTTAATTAAAGAGGAAAAGAAGAGGGGAGAATTACCTGATGGAGATGGCACCATCAAATGGGCGATCAAACATGACCTCGATGGTCTCCTGGCCAAGAACGAGGTAGACGCCGATGACAAAGCCACAGAGGCCAAAGATATCGTGTCGTGGACCAACGTACATGACTCGGTCGACCAGCTCAAAAGTGTCAAACTTTTTCCCGAGCCTTTTCAACCATGCCTGGTAGCACTGTGGTATGATACGACCACCGTCGGGCAAGATCTGCGAAAATTATCATCGAATGTACTTGCAAAGATGCACGCACGAAACGAGCATATGCAGAAGGACGTAATCGTTTCATACATTTTAACTTATCCTGTACAATAATATGCATCAATTCGGGTCTTTTTTAATGAAAAGGACACTTTAAAATCGACTTTATTGCGATTTCTGAAGGAATCATAACAAATGTTTGTTTATGACATTAAGCAACTAAAAAGGCGATAACAGAAAGGTAACGTCATCAATCTAATTTAGGTGACTTAATTAACTACCAGTTAACTGTCTACAACTCCCTTTTAAGGAAGGCCTCCCTAACTTCTCGTCTTTGAATGTTTGCAGAAAATTCCTGGGCACAACAAGTTAACTCCTACGACATTAAACAACTAAGAGTGGCGGTTATAAGACGAAATCCTCATTCAAGAGTTCAAATTGTAATATTTATGTGTAGCTTGAAGAGCCGTAGGTCTAAGGGGCATTTGTGTAATTAACACAAACACTAAAAAGGATTATCATGGCAAATGGGGAGATGCTAAACCTGTTTTGTAACAAAAGCTTGGGAGGTCATCAGTCAGAGTAGCCAATAGAATGTTATGAAACGCTGTGTGAGCACGAATACTGCTGCGATCCCCGTCAGGTAATCAGAGGTAAGGAAGTCAGAGTAGAGATCGTCAGTGCGGCAGCCAGGGTACATTCGGGGTACGGTGTATGCACACACGGGTGGTAACCAATCTTGGGCATTTATATCCCTCTGAATGACCATAACTTTGGGGCTAATACTAGTACGCATAATATGCCTTCACATGGTAATGGCAATCAGAACCCGAATGACAGCTAAAATTGTGAAATATTCTGGAGTGCTCGGGGAATTGACGCAAAAATAGGAGACTTAAGTACCAAACAGAAGCTCATAGGACAAAAAAAATAGGAATGCTTTTCCCTATTACAGCGATGTACCGCAAAGACGTCGGTGGGGGCGATTTCAATACGAGTGCAGTCAGTGGGAAGTGACGTAGGGAAGGGTGAATCGGGGAAGAGATGACTCTGGACGACCAGGAGACCCTTCGTGTCCAACAGTGGTGCGTTCGCATCTGTCACTATCCGGTTGCCCTTCACCTCGTTGCGCAGGAACGTTCGCAGCTGAGAGTACCGCTCGCTGTGTACACACAGAGGAAAGGAAGTGGTTAGTGAAATAACAAGAGGGCTCGCATCAATGGTTCAACTCACAAGGTGTTTGTGGGGAAGATGTCACTCATTTCAAAGGCGGAGACATGCATATCACTGGCTCCAATGAAGTTGATCACATCGGGGAAGAGTTGGTTGTACCTAGCGATCGTGTCGACTGTACGGCGTGAATAGACCCACGTCTCTTTCGACCAGGAGTAACGACTCCATCCCACGACCTACAACGGCGAATCAGCTCTAGTGCAAAAATAAGTAAGACAATCACGCAAAATAAGATAAATGAAGAACACTACTCGCTAGTAGACTAAATACGAGGGAAACTTCACACATCCAGTAGAGTTGTTTGAATAGTTCGGAAAAATCAATCCATTTCAAAAACGCACCCATTTTTGGCTTAGACAATGATTAGTTCGTATTAAGTTGTGCCCTTGTAAGCTGAGCTACCTGGAAGGGCAAGGGCCATCAACTTACGCAGGCACGTTTGCGATGCAGAACGAGAGAAAATCCGATATTGGTCAGGTTGGTGCATTCCAATGCGCCATCCCGAGGCTTTCTTTTCTTGGCACGGCCCGAAGGGGGCGGCGGCACACGTACCATGAAATCTCCGACGATGCGTTGGATAATGTGTTGCGCGAGATGGAGGTCTCGCGACATCTGCATCGGCGTCAGGTAGCTCGACTCATCCGCCTTCTGCATAGACAAATAGACACATTTGCTCAGCCTTAGACATCGGCTGTTGCATTTGCTGACTCATTGTTATCAACAGATAACCCAGTCAGAGAAAATAAGACCATTCTAAACTGTTTAATTATGAACACATAACAATAACATCGCATAACATAATAAAACTAGTCCGAAGGTAAGACTTTAGTTATTGCCAAATCGACGTGAGTAGGGAAAATGTATGAATACAACAAATTTAAGCAACTAATATAATGTGATTTAATGAGACTTATGAAGAATATTAGAAAACTCTTAAGAAAAAAAATTATAATGCGTTACTCACGAGAGCAGACGTCAAGAAAGAAGACGGATCCTCTGCTAGAGGAGGGTCGGGAAAGAGCTGTATGGTGAGTTTACCATCGATTGCTGAGCCCACAATCTAGGGGAATTAGAAATTTGACACGCAGTAATAATTAAGAGCGGATAGTAAAATCAGCTAAAGCTCCTACAAGGCACCTTCGCGAAACTGAAAAGAGACGAGGGAAAGTCCGATTGGTAAACTCA